GTCGGAGGACGAGTGAAGTAATAGATTGGGCAAAGGGGGGAAAGCGCGAGACTGAGAAGTGCTGCGGCTTATGAGCGCGGTGGCCGAGTGCGAGGGCCGGAGGGGTAACTGAGGAGCGCGGTGACCAAGTGCGATGGCCGAGGAGGTAAATCGGGAGCGCGGTTGCTCGCCAGAGCGGGGTTGCAGGAAGCCGGGAGAAGTACGAATGCCTTTAGCCGGCCATGACCTCATTCGTCGCCGCGCGGGGCTGCACGGGTGCGGCAGCGGTGTCCTGCGTACCGGCTGCTCCAGCGGGCGGGCCATTCTGCAGTGCCGGAGCCGGCGCTGCTGTCGATACCTGCTGCTGCTCGGCCTGCGTCGCCTTGGGACCAAGTGCGGTGGGCGTGCGGCTCTTGTTGCCGCCGCCGGACATGCGGCTCGCCTTGCCCACGCCGCGGCTCTCGTCGCGCAGCGCGACCATCTGCGAGCGGAAGATGGAGTTTGCGAGCGTGTTGGGCAGCAGGCGCAGGAACGCCACCGAGTAGCGGTGCGCCGGGTGCGGCACGATGAACGGCTTGGGGCGTTGGCGCCACGGGCGCGGCGAGATGGCGGCGATGGCGTTGACGACCCAGGTGGAGGAGAGCGGCGTCTGCGCAGGGTGAGCGCAGTGCTGTGGCGGGGAGGGGGTGGAGTACGCACCATGGCACTGCCGTCGCCCTGCATCGCGCGCCCATTCACCACTGCGCCCGGCGCCAGGCACACGACATCGACATCGGTGCCCTCGGCAAGCTCCTCGCCGTGCAGCGACATGGAGAAGAGGCGGTTGAAGGCCTTGCTGGCCGAGTACACCGAGATGCTGCCGGGACATTAGCGCATGTGCGGCAGAGGCGCGGCGCAATGCCACTCACTACGGACTCGGCCAGATGCCGCCGATGGAGCTGATGTTCAGCATCAGGCCCGGCCCGCCGGTGCGCAGCTTCGGCAGCGTCACCTTGGCGACGAGCGTCGGGAACACGGCGTTGCAGGTGATCTCGTCGACGAGCTGCTGGCTCGGCATCTCGAGCACGCTCTCAAAGTGCCCGCCGCTGCCGCCGACGTTGTTGACGACGATGCGCAGGTTCAGCGGCGCCACGCCGCCCTCGAGCTCGCGCGCGTCCGGCGGCAGTGCGCAGGCGTCGAGCACGCACAGGCGCACGTCGCGCGTCGGGAAGCTGGCCAGCACGGCGTCACGCACAGCAGCCAGCTTCGCCGGCGAGCGCCCGTGCAGCAGCAGGTTGAAGCCGTGGGCGGCGAGCGCGTGCGCCCACGCCTCGCCCATGCCCGCCGTCGCGCCGGTGACGAGGGCGAAGGGCGCCGGGCCGGCGCGGTAGCGCGCGAGCGCGGGCGACGAGGACATGTCGGGCACGATGCGCGTGCTCATGGCGGATATTAGCGGAGCGGAAGCGAATTAGGCGGGTATGGGCGGTATGGGTATGTGAGGGCGCGATGTGAGGGTGAGGAGGGGCCGGACAGGTGGTGATGGGGGTCGAGCGGGAAGAGGGCCGCGGCGCGCGAGATGTTTCAGGCACCGCTTCCGGCGGCAGCGGCCTTTGCGGCCAGGGCGCGCATGATGTCACGCCACAAAGGGCTCCGCTCGTGGGGCTTGTGGGAGCAGTTGCAGGATCCTGAGGGGCAACATGACGCATCCCCTCAGGCATGGCAGAGTATTAGGGTGGAGCACTGCACACTCAGAGCACAGCAGAGCAGCAGAATGTCACAGAGGTAGATCAGCAGGGTGCAGCAGGGAAGAGCAGAGACCATGGCAGGAGCAGCAACAGCTGGCCAGCAGGACTGTGAGAGGGTTCCTGAGATGACCTCAGAGGGATGCTGCTGGGCTCTGCTAGCACTGCACTTTCTCTCTGTGTGGCAGGCCAACATGGAGCTTGCAGGAGACAGGCAAGGCTCAGGCGCGCAAGCCTGCCAAGCTCAAGGACCAGCTCCAGTTGGCTGCAGCTAGCAACACGGTCAAGCACCTCAAGGGCAGGTCTAGTGCGGAGGTGGCGGACAGGTCTAGTGCAAAGGTGGCTATGAATGCAGCAGAGTGCGGACGCGAGACTCGCTGTGAGTGCGAGGAGGACGGTGGCGGGGCTCAGCGTCTGGGCCCGAACAAGTTGTCGCGCGGGCGGCCTGGCACGCGAGGAAGCTGAAGCGTCCGGCGCGCGGGCTCGCCAAGCGCCGACGCTGCGGCTCCCTGTCCCGGGCGAGGCACGCCACGCGCAGGCCCAGGCGCAAAGACTGGAGGTGCTTTGCGCTGCTGCTGGGCAGGGCGCGCTCGAGGAGCAGCGGCAGCAGCAGGGCGAGGCGCCGCACAAGGAAGAGCAGCGGCAGCAGGGCGAGGAAGGGCAGCAGCTCCAGGGCGAGGCGCACAACGAGGAGGAGGAGTGTGAGGCGGAGAAGGGCTGAGCATGCGGACGTCGCCGTCAGAGGAGATGACCTGCGGCTGCGCTGCTGCTTGGGCAAGGTTCTGCAACGCCACAAGCATGCGCGAGCGCGTGGCGGCAACGCGTGCCCGTGCCGCCGCACGTAGGCGCGGGCTTGATGCCAGCTGCCGCGACGGCTGGTAGACGTCGCCGCTGCTCGTTGAATGGAGGGGCGGCGTTGTCGGCGGCGTCGGCGAGGGCCTGGGCAAGCGCAGCACTGGCAAGGCCTCTCCAGGCAGCCGCGGACGCGCAGCCTTGGAGAGCCCCTTGGAGAGCGTGCGGCCAGCGTCCTGCTCCTCCTGCGTACCGGTCAGCTCTGTGCAGCCAGCAGGATGCGCGCGCTCTGCTCACCTGCTTTGGCCAGCGTGCAGTCAAGTCGGTGCCGGTGCGTAGCAGGCTCAGGCCCAGGGTGTGATACGGCAGCGCGTTGAAGTGAGCGAGGCGGCCAGAGCGCCGCGCAAAGGCTGCCAGCTCCTTGTTGGGTTGCGGCGCTTCCTGGGCGCGCTCCTCGGCCGCTGCGCGGATGGCGCCAAGGGAGTAGGGGCCGGACGTGCGCGGGAAGATGTGCTGCGTGCCTGTCAGCTCTGCGCGGCCAGCGCCGCAGCAGGATCCGTGCTGCTCACCTGCGTGTAGGCCTCACCGGGCGCGGGCATGCCAAGCGTGTAGTTGCGGATGTCGTCGGCCGCCGCTGCGTGCCGGTCAGCTCTTTGCCACCAGCAGGATGGGCGCGCTGCTCACCTGCGGCGCTGCGGCCACCGCCAGGCTTGCTGTTGAGGTTGATGCCCTCGGGTGCAAGAGCCTCGACAATGCGCTCAATTGTCAGCCCGCGGGCTCGCACCGCTGCGGGGCGACGCCGGCGAGGCAGACATGCGGCGCGGCAGCATGGTGGAGAGGAGGTGATGGTGGAGTGCGACGAGCGCAGCTGCTGAGCGCTGGCCCTCCTCATCAGCAGGCGCAGAGAGAGGGGCCTGGCCGCAGAGTGGTTTTGCGCCGGCAGGAAGGGGGTGCGACGTCTCACCACCCAAGGCACGCGCCGCGCGTGTCTTGTCGTTCCTCTCCCTCCCGCAGAGTCTAGAGGATGGAGAGAGATGCATTGCGCAACGCCAAGCAAGACGGAGGGAGGACACAGGGGGGGGGAGATGGAGGAGCTGATTGCGGCTGAGCAGCGGCAGCAGCGCGGAGCAAGGCGAGCGGCCGGCCAGCGCTGACTAAGCACAAACCGCGCAATCTTGTGCGGTTTGTGCTTAATCAGCACCTCTCGCCGGCTTGCTGGTACGCACCATTCTGCCTCTCCTCTCCTACCTCTCTCGCTCTCTCTCTCCTTTGGTCGCCAACACCGTCTTGCGCCCGCATTGCCGTTGCGGCGCTTCTTCACCTCCGCTCCCCTCTCCGTCTCTCTGTCTCCCCGCCGCTGGTCGCCAACGCCATCTCGCAGCGCGCAGCCTCCACCGTCGCGCGCTGCCGCAGCGCTGCTCTCCGTCCCTCTCTCTCTCTCTCTCTCTCCCTCTCCCTCTCTCCTTCGGTCGCCAACACCGTCTTGCGAGACGCAGGCTGCGTCGGCGGCATGGCCTCAGCGACAAGAAGCGGCGCTGCAGCTCGAGACGCACCTGGCGCCTCGCCGCCTCGGCGACAATGTGCCGCCGGAGACAACGGCGGCGCAGATCAGCACGACGCCTTCCGGCACAACGAGCGCTGCGCTGCGATTCTCGTCTTGTCGGACATGCTGCTGGCGGGCAGCAGTAGCAGTCTCGTTGCGCTCAAGGAGCTCTGCCATCTCTGTTGCACGCTCGAGCAGTTGCCCAGAGCGCAAAGAGCAGCGCAAAGTCCTTGCCCAAGCGCGCCACATGCAGCGCCTCGCCAAAGGGCAAGGGGCGAGGCGTGCTCCATGTCTGCTGCGCTCAGTACCCGTCGCTGTCCGTGTCCTCCGGCGAGAAGCCGCACTGGCGCCGCGGCATTCCCATGGTGAGTGCGTCTGGTAGCTGGCAGGTCGCTGCGCACGTCAGGCAGGCTGGCCAGACTGAGACGGGGCTTGTTTGACATGCACGCTCTGCTGCGCTGCTGCTGCGCCTTGCTTTTGCAGCGCGGGGCTCCTGGCCGGCGCTGCGGCGCTGTGGGCAGCTAGGGGAGAGCACGAGCGTGGCAGTGCAACGTATTGCTTGTCTACGGCAAGGAGCGCACAAAGAACGATGCGGCGCCTCCGCCTTGGCTGCTTCTGTCTTGTCACGCTCTGCGCCTTTGTGGCACGCGGCGGCGGCTCAGCTTGCGGCTCTCTCCCGGCCGACTGCCGGCTGCGTTGCCGTGCTGCGGCCCGTGAAGCAGGATAACTTCCGCAAGGCGAGCAAAGAGCTGGCACAGACGCTGCAGCGGGCGCGCCGGTGGCAGGGCTGGCGCAAGGGGGGCGGCTCGGGCCGACGCTGCGACGTGCCGCGAGCTTGAGGCCGGCGGGCGCGGGCAAGGCGTACAACGACGAAGACGCTGCGCTTGCATTGGGAAAGTGCCTTCGGGCGAGGGTGCGAGGAACAGAGAAGCGGCGACGCCCAGCGCCGCGCGACGTCAGGACGCGTGGGCGCCGACGGTGATGGCGTCGGCGACGCTCTAGCGCATCAGCACGGCGCCGATGGAGAAGCCATTGGCGAGCAGCTTGGCCATGGTGATGAGATCCGGGTGGGCGCAGTGCCGGCAGCGCATCAGCGCAGAGGATGGCCGACGCATTGCTGCCAAGTTTCAGGCGCGCCTTGGGCGCGCGCGCGAGATCTGCGGTATCTTGCGCAACAGGCCAACTTCCTCTCGCCAGCGCCGGCAGCAGCATCTCTCGGCACATTCGTCCGGCCGCCTCTCGGCAAAGACGGCGAGACGCGCGCCAAGAATGAGGACGTAGAGTGCGCCATCTGCAACGACGGCGGCTGCGAGCTGCTCGACGCCGTGCCCACGCCGACGCGGCGGCCGAGGCAGGTGCAGCTTCATGTGTGGCCTTGTGCTGACCCGCACTCCCTCTGCAGCAAGCGCGTAGTCCGCTCAGTGTACCTCTAATCCACTGGCTGCGCGCCAAATTGCGAACCCGCGCGCTTCCAAGAGGAGAATGCGAAGGGCAGGGAGCCTTGACGGCTGGGAAGACGTGCAGACGCCTCGGCCTTGCCGGCGGCAGCCCGCACGGCGCGAGCCCGTCGACAGGCAGCAAGGCTCAACGACGACGCAAGCTGGCAAGCTGGCGCACGTGGCCGTTGTTGGACAGTTATGCAGCTTGCCGTCGCTGATGCTGCCTTTGTGCTTGCAGCGGACGGCGCAACTTCTCTGCTGAGGCACGCAGCTCGTGGCTCTCCTCTCGCATCTGGTGCGTCTCCATGGCGGGCCTCAGCAGCGTCGCCCCCCACTCTGTGACCTGCCGCAGCAGGCGCTGCAACTGCCGCCAGCGGTCTGCCTGCGCCCTCGCCGGCGCCATGCCGTGCGCGCGCAAGACGTGCAAGGTGCTGCTGGCGCTCAAAGACGCCGCGGTGACATATTGGCCGCTGCCTGTTGCTGCAATGGCGACGGTCAGGAGCTCGGCGGCAAGCTGCTCAAAGGCGGCGCTGCGAAGCCGATCCTGGCGCCGGGCAAGCACGCCGTCGGCCACAAGGCCCTCCACGCATGATGTACTCGTCCAGCGCAATTGTCCTGCCCCCCCCCCCCCAGCCGCCGCCGCCAGGCGGCTTTGCACTGCTCGCCGCGACGGCGCCTTGTTGCACCACCAGCTGGCGCCGTCAGACCTTCCGCTGAACGTAGCCTCTGCCTCGCCATTGCGGCATGCTTCCCGTCACTGCTGTGTTCAGTACTGTCGCGTGCAATGTAATTGTCTGCAAGCGCTGAACGGTGCGCAGGGAACAGAGGACAGGCATCTCGAGGGGGCGCGAGAGCGGCAGACAACGCCGCGCTGGCATCAAGATGCAGCGGCAAGGCTGCAAAGCCATGTGGCCTCGCAATGTGCCCGCTGGAGACATGGACGAGGCACGAGAACAACGTGCAGAGCTGGGGCGGCACTCACCCAGCATGCCGTCTTGCTGCATCGTGCAACGGCGCAAAGAGGCAGACGGTGGGAGCTCTGTGCAGCATGAATCAGCGGCGATGGCGAGAGAGAGCAAACGTCGCGGCTCGTTGGACGTTGTCCGCCACCCTCTGCCTAGCTGTTACGCCTCCCCGCTCGGCGTCGTCACTCACGCATTGTTGCGAGCTCCCCGGCTGCGCAGCAGGTCGTGCTGCAGCGAGCGTGGCTGTCTCAGCAAGGCTTGCACATGCACGCGCTGCACGACGGCAACAGCGAGCACTGTGTATGCGCGTGCTTGCAGAGAGGACGCGGCCGCTGCAGCGCCCAGGCGTTGACGACGCACGTCCCACTTGGCGACGCGCTTGCGCAAGCACCTCCCATTCCTCGCCACGCACAGCCTTGCTGCTTGACTCACCCGCGCAGGACACGCATGACGCAGAGCAGCTGACAAGCACGGACGTTGGCGGCAGAGGTTGGCATGAAGACAAAGCCTGATGAGCAGGAAAAGTCAGAGATCTGGGACAGGACGCGGCAGTGGCAAACGGCGGCAAACGGCGGCAAGGGCAGCGCGCGATGTGCGCTCGGTCAGCAAGATGGGGCGCGAACCCGACACCTGGAGAGTACGCACCAGATGATGTTGAGCCTTGCCCTGCCGCCGCGGCGTGGAGGATGGTGAGATGTCGAGACGGCCAATGCCAACAAGGACGGCGTGCGCACGTCAGTGGTGAGGAGGACGTGTCGCACAACAGCAGGCGCGGCAAGCTGCAAGATGCAGAAGCTTGGTGGCAAGCAGCGGCAGCCACATGCCCGCGACCATTGCAGCAGCAGCGCTCCCTTCCTGACCACAGCAGCCAGCCTGCCCCCTCTGGCCCTCGCGCTGGACGCTCTGGTCGTCTTTGCTTTGCCCTACCCTCGCCCTTGTAGCGGCGGCCGGTGCGCGGCGCCTGACGGCAAGCAGCAGCGGCGCAATGAGCACAAGCAGCACGTCTGACGACGGCAGCGGCAGCAGCAGCCGCACAAGCACGCAATAGCACTCCCGACCCCACAGCAGACGACGGCAGCGCAGGAGACTCACTTGGACGACAACCCGAGCCGGCGGTGGCAACAGAGGGCGAGCGACGCGCGTGCGCAGCATCAAGCTCGCCCCGGCAAGGTGTGGACATGAGGCGAGGAGGTGAGAGGCGTGGGCGTTGTGGAGAGCGGTGCGCGGCCGTCAGCAGCCAAGAGCAGTGGTAGAGGTGCGGTAGAGAGGAGGCTGCGGCGGTGGAGAGGAGGGTGCGGCGGTGGTGGAAAGGAGAGTAGAGTGCGGCGGTCAGCAACGAGCGCGCGTGCTCAGCAGGGCCAACGTGCACTGCAGACGGCACCGATGAGCGCCTCGGCGCGGCATACTCACCGGCTGACGGGTCATGAAGCGCAGAAGCGGCCGGTGCGGCAGCGCGCAGCAGCCAGACAAGAAGAACGGACGGCGGCGAGCGGCGTGCTGCCGGCGGCGAGACTTGGCGGGCAAGCGCAAGGAGGTGGCTGCGCACTTGAGCCCACGCCGACCACAGCGACACAGAGCGTCGCACGCTGAGGACCATCAGAAGCCACCAAGGTGCGGCGCACTCACTCACAGGCTGGCAGCCGTTGGTACAGCAGGCGCGCAGCAGCAGCGGCAGCGGCGGACGGGCAGCGTTGGACAAGCTGCTGGCGCGGCAGCGAGAGACAGCAAGCGCCGCATGCTGGAGCTACTCACAACTTGCCGCCCTGGCGCCGGCGGAATGACTGCGGACGGGCGGCGGTAAGCGGTGGCATGGGCAGCTGCACTCACAGCATAGCCTTGTGGGCATCCTCAGTCAGTTGCATGTTCTGCATGACTTGTACCCGGCAGATTGGGCGAGCAGCGGCGGGCAGCGAGCGGCGGGAACGAGGCGGTTGCAAGGTAAAAGAGCGCGCCGCCAGCAAAGAGCGGCGGCAGGTGGTGGCTGGCGGATGGCGAGTGAGCAACGGCGGGCAAGCAGAGACGGCAACGATGAGGAGCGCGCGCGCTCACGCCTCTGCTGCTTGCACGCCGCGAGGGGATGGAAAGGAGAAGCGCAAACAAGGCGACAAAGAAGCAGCACGCGCACCTTTACACATTGCTGCACCGCTGCGACCTGCAAGATGGTGAGAGGAGGGTTAGGGTTAGGGTTAGGGTTAGGGTTAGGGTTAGGGTTAGGGTTAGGGTTAGGGTTAGGGTTAGGGTTAGGGTTAGGGTTAGGGTTAGGGT